CACACACACACACACACACACACACACACACACACACACACACACACACACACACGACAATCCTATTAATCTGACCTATTCAAGTAGCCACAACAGGACTATTGTCAAAGCCAAAAAAATTCTCCTTTAAAATATTTAAACTTCATTTTAAAATTAAAACTGAAAACAAGATACTTAGCTGCCAACTGCTGTGTAGTATGAAACTATTAAAGCCTGCACTGACCTACTTCATACTAGCATCATGACAATATGGATGTACGCCAAGAAAATGAAAATTACTATATAACAAACCTTAATTTTGTATATAGAAATTGTCACTGCTTTGAAGTGTGTGAATATTGTACTACAATGCCAGCTGCTTTAGATACATTAATTTTTAAATTGCAATATAAAAGGAGTTTTGATATTTTAGTAGTCATATTCACTGATAGACATGCAACATTTCATTTTTAAAATCAGATTTTTTATTCCACATTTAATTTTATTTTTAAACTTCTATTAAAAGCAGTCTCTTAGACCAAATTCCAAATATTGCTTTCCATTTTTAAAATAGCTCTACACATTTAAAAAAATGTCAGTCATGAAGAATCCTACAAAAACAATGCAAGTTCACGTTCAAAGAATATTTGCAATGGCTCTAACAGGATAGACTTAACTCAGTGTATTTAATTATTAAAAGACTGCCACCAGTCTTTCACAGTTTAATGCGGAAATACTGGAAATTCTCATACAAGTACAGGAATAGCAAAGGATATTTCATCCAGTTTCTAAAAAAGACACACAAAATGGCAAAACATTTATTTTAAATTAAAAACCATTTTACAGTATAAACTACCACCTTGAAATAAAATATATTAAATATACTAAAGAAGTCCTTTCTTGACAATCAACGGAAAGAATAAACTCCCTAAAAGAGATATTTAATCTGAGAATAATGAAGGCAAAAACATCCAGAAACAGCAGCTAAAGCAACTGAAAGGATGAGACACATTAGGTTTTGTGCTGCCTATTAATATTCCTACGCACAATGTTTGGTGAAAATTCACAATAACTTCTTCCTCCCTGTATGGCTGCAAAAAAGGAGTAAACACATTTCAGATTCCTTAGTCCTACATTCATGCTACGATCGTGCAAGATGACTTAATTTCGACCCATATTCCTCTTACACATAAGTGAAAACCACAAATAACTTGTTTATCTGCACTCACAATTAAAGAGGAGGTGAAAGCATTTGGGGGCTATGGAGACCAGGGCTGATGCAAAGTCCCCACACCTCCAGAGGCCCTGTAAATATGCACCCGACTCTGGACACCCATATTCAATGAAAGCATCAGCCTGCTCCTCCGCTTCCCAGCCCGCCGGCCCCCACCTCCTTTGCAGCAGAAATGTGCCTGGGCTTTCTCACCCCCAGCGATGGAGGATACTCTTACCAGATGGAGTTCTTGATCTCGTGTTGCAGCGCGCTGGCCTCTGTCCCTGGCAGCCCAGGCACAAGGGCTGGCAGAGCCACCCCCGAGTTGGGGGCGCTGGGGGGAAGCTGCTGATGGGCATCAGGCTGCTGTGGTGGCGGCTGTTGTTGTTCCTCTGCCATCGCTGCTGGAGGGGTAGGAGGGAGGGAGGGAAAATGGGGGCGCGGGGAAGGGTGAGGAAAGAGACAGGGAGGGGAGGACGAAGGGGGAGTGGAGGAGGGGGGAGGGGAAGAGGAGGAGGAGGAGGAGGAAGGAAGCTGGATAAGCTAGGCCTTTACCCCAGGGCTCGAGTGAGTCGCTTTCGCCTGCCGCCTGGGGGACATCACCGGGGAGACCCAGCGGCTCCTTACGGCCGGGGCGCTTCACCGCAGGAGAGGCATGGCGGCGCCCCTCAGCCCCCCGCCGCCGCCGCCGCAGCCGCCGCCTCCTCCAGTCAGCGGCCGGGGCTGGGGGCGGTGAGGAGGGGGCGTCTGAAGACGAGGTGGGGGGGGCAAGGCTCCCCCAAATCCAAGGAGAATGGTCGCTTGGGGACTTCGCGGCCCGGCCTTCCTGTCTTGCCCCCGGGAGCCCCGCGCTGCTGCAGCCCCAGGCGCAGCCCTAGGCTCAGCTCCACGCCACTCCCCACGCCACCGCCGCTCGCTCCCGGCCCCGCCGCCGCCGCGGCCGCCGCTGCCCTGCCAGCCCCGGAGGCAGCCTAGTGCGCGCAGCCGCACTGCGGCCCGGAGCAGACGGCAAAACACCTACCGCTCCGCCGGGCTGGGGAGGGGCGGGGGTTGGCGCGGGGGACTGGGAGGGGGGCGCACGGGTGCGGAGGGCGGCGCGGGCCCAGCCCGGAACGCGCACCGCCGGGGCGGAGGAAGGGACTGGCCGAGCTGGTGGAGGAGAGCAGGAAAACGTGGGGGGAGGTGCTGGCGAGAGAAAAAGAACTTGCGTGAAGAGGAGGAGGAGGAGGAGAAACCAAATATAATATTTGGCGAGGAAATGGGATTGTTTTTTTTCATCTTCAAAGCAAGGCAAGTAAAATTAATCAGCATTATCGCCCCTCCCCTCGTCAAGTGAGGATTACTTTCTCCCTGGGTTAATGGAGAGGCTTTAAGCAGGTATGAGGATAACCTGACTTTTCAGAAGCCCCCAAAGAAAAACACCCGTTGGAATTAACCACCCTATAGGTAATTCAGTCTTGAACGGAAATCGCAAGTCAGGAGCTGGGTTGAGTGCTCCTCAGTCGGGCATTCAAAGCCCTCCAAATCTGGCCCCACTTTAGCTATCCAATCATAGCTGCCTCCATCCCCCTGCAAGAACTCCCAGCTCCAATCAGTGAAGTCTCCATGCCATTCTCAACGCGCAGCAGATTCATTCTTCCTTCGTGCCTTTGCTCATGCTGTTCCCCTCACCTCCCACCCCACCCCCTTTCCAGGAATGCCCTCCCTCCTCTATACCGCTCTCAAGCCAACCCAGGCTCTAAGGCACAGCTCAAGTCGCGGCTTGTCAGGGTCCCTGGCAGCCAAGGCCCCTGCCTGCCTATGAAAGAAACGCGTGTAGTTTTCTCAACATGGAGGCTCAGGCTCCAGCCACAAGCTCTTTCCTTTGGAGCCAGTTGAACCTCTGGACGCACTCTGCCCCTAACCCCCCATTCATACTTAAGAGAGAGCTTTGTCCATAAAGAGTAAGACTGCCTAGCTGAAACAAGCAAGTCCCCTTTAAGAGCAGAATTGGCTTTTCTAGGTGGGGCTGATCAGGGAGGCCCAAACTGCCCGGGTGTAGAAGACAACAGCCAAGGCCTCTGGCATCAGATGGAACAGCTGCTCAGCTCACACTGACCTTTCTCTGGGCCTGTGGGTATTATGAGCCCTTCAGCTTTTACTTTTCTGACAGTTTCTATCAGGTCTCTACCTGACAAAGATTCTGTGGCCACTTTCCTGCTGTGCTTGGACTTTGGGCCATGAAGCTCTGCCACCTTTTAGACTCAGTGGGTGGGGAATCTGATTGGCTTGGGCTTCCTGGCCCTTGGAGTGCTCAGTTCCCTGCCTTGGCCTGCAACCCTCTTGCTTTTGCACTCAGGCCTGGCCCACAGGCTCCACTCCCAGATTCACCCTGAATGCTAGCACATGGTGGGGAGAGGGGGAGGGAGGAAGAACACCTGTGTGCAAAACACAGCTCCTCTGAGGATCCCAGGCCTCTTGTATTGCTTTGCTCGCTTTACACTGATTGTTTCACACAAAAGAGCTCCCTTTTCCATAACCTAAGGTCACTGTTAGCTGAGCCACTTTAGGGAAATAGAGGTTGTTCATGAATTCATTTGCATATGTACCTTGTATCCTATGTAAAGAGTATTTTTCTGCACCAAATTGATAGACATGGTGTGCACTAGACAGACGCTTTGAAGAATAAAAATAGCTAATGTTTGTTTCAGTGTGCCAGACCTAGCTAGCCCTTTCCATACATCATCATAGTTATTCCTCCCCAAACTGTATAATGTAGGTAATATTATTCTCCCAACTACAGATGAAACATAAGTTTAGAGGGGATAAGTGACATTCTTAAAATTACCCAATTAGTAAATGAGTGAGCCAGGATTTGGATCCTGGAAGTCTTAATTCCAGAACCTGCAAGCCATGCTGAAAATGAGCTTATACTGAAAAATCCTGAATGTATATATCAGCTCTATATCCCTGGGGAAAGTGGAGGAAGTAAAAAGGCGTTGGGAAAAGTTGCCAAGTCCCTCATATTTAAATTTTTACCTGGCCAAGAGAGAATGATGGTTCCACGGTGCCACACCCTGGGAGGGGGAGACCCTAGGGTGTGGGAGATTCATCCAAGAAGAGTAATGTATCTGAGACCTGCCAAAGGCCTTAAGAAAAGGAAGCTGAAAACCAAGATGTTTCTTTAAAAGTTCGCTACCCGGTGTCACACAGGCTGGCTTCCCGAGTGCAACTTTTGAGTTTCTTATAGGTTCCATAAAAGAGCCATGTTACCCCAGCAGCCACTAGAGGGCTCAGTAGAGCTGCCTCCCTGAGCTGCCCTCTAGCGGCGGTGCTGAAGAGGGCATTGTTGAGGCTTTGGGGCCTTCAAGTACGAACAGGTGGTTGGAGGAGACATCCGGGACTCTTAGGTTCAACCAGCAACGAAAGAAGTGGCAGATAGTATCAGACTGAAGAGACCTTATTGCCAGAATGAGACATCCTTTCAGGGAGAAAAGGGTTATAGCCCCCACTGCTCATTTAACATCTGGGAGTAGAGTGTGCATTTTGTTACAGTCTTCAGAGAGGTCTGTGAATACAATTGTGCCACTAGAAACTTAAAAGAAACCTGATGAAGTTGCTCAAAATCTTGCGTTGAGACTCAAGCCAAACCCAGACCCCTGAATAAAGGTAGCAGTGGAGCCACGTGCGTCTGAAATTGTGTGTATACCCTGCTGGTGTTGAAACCCTTTACTAAGGTCCCTCAAAAACCCAGAATCAATGAAGCTTATTTTCTCATACCTTCAGCTTGACTCTGTGAGAAGTAATGGAAAACATTATAGTAAGCATGAATTTTTAAGATTACACACTAGATTTTGAGTTTATATTTCCCAACCCTGAGGAGAGTATAAGCCTATTCTCCTGATGAAAGTGTACTCAGAAGTGGAAAATTTTGAGAAGCACTGGTATAGTAGAGAAGAAAAATTTCAGTTTTAGAGTGAGAAGACCTGGGAATTCAAACCCTCTGTTTCCATCTCTATAAAAATGAAAATAATGACCTACTTCACAGGGTTGTTATGAGGAACAACATGGAGACTGATATCTAAATCACAGAAGTGCTGTACACATATAAAGACAATCTACAAGGTGGATGGATTGTGACCAACTCAAAGGTAATGACTTTTATTTATCCTAGTAGTCCTGGGACACAATTCTTTACTCTTAGGTGTTTAGTGAATATTTGTTGAACTCAGTAGTTACCTAATCTTAATTTTCTTAGCCCAGTACATTATACCACCTTGCTCTCTTGTGCCTGTAAACCTTGTCTCCTTTGTGAAACTAAACTTTTTATACTGTCCAGACTGTCGCATATACATTTATCATAAATTTAACATGCCTGATATGTAATAATATTGGGCACAGAAAATATAAATAAATAATAAAACCTGGTCCCAACTTGAAGTAGTTGATATTCTTTGGAGCAGAGAGACATATTAATGTATATTAATTATACAAGATGATGAGCTCAAAAATAGAATCATGTCTACTAATACTGTGGAGACATAGTGGAGGGAGATGTTTGTTGCTCCTGTTCAAGGTAAAAGAGCTGTTTGGAGAAGGCCTCTTGGCTAGCATTTGAATTGAGTCTCATTCAGAAGTTCAGTAGACATAGCACTGAGGGAAGAGGATTTCTGGACAAGAGCAGCACGAGCACTGGTGTGAAGCCATGAAAGGTCACTTGGGATTGTGTGAATAATGCCTCGCTCAGTGTCAGCTCGGTGCTCAGATCCATAATGAAGTATATAGTAGAGGAAAAGGATGGGGCAGGAGACACAAGCCCATTTTACAAAATGTCACTCTATGTTGTTAGTTATGATGGTTCTGACAAAAGATGAGGCCTAAAACAGGTTTGGTCAGTGGTAAATATTGGTCAAGTGCTTAGAGTGTACATTTCATTTCCACAAATTATGGTGGTTTACAGATATAGAAAAAATAAGGTTCTACCCTATTCTCCTCCCCCCCCCCTTAAAAATAAAGGCAAAGTCTTTCTTCATTCTCTTTTCCGTTGATTATTACTTGCTCTGCCTTCTTCCATTGCAAACTCTCCCCTCTAGGAGCTGAAAGAGAAATATGTAATCACTTGCATATTATTATATTTGAGGGAATAAGGAAGGAAGGCTTTCCACCTCCAAAAACACCTTTCTCCATATCAGAAAGAGTTGGTTAATTTCCTTGGGCTAAGCTGTTGTCTTTCGACATGCATGTAGTGCTAGAGGAGTTGATATATTAAGTTTCATTGCTGTAATATAATTGAGTTTCCATCCTATTTTTAATAGCATTAGAGGAAGGGATGTAGGGGGAACAGGGAGGGAGACAATAAAAGAAGAAGCAACGTTACAGAAGAGGGAGGGTGTAGGGTTCAAAACCAAATGCATGTTGGCAAATTTGGATAAATGTTCTCCATGCCACCCTTACTAATGTTAAGTATGATGTGAGAATATGAATTTTCCTGTTAGAGCACAAATACTCCATTGTGTCATTAAAACAATGGTACGTTAAGGCAAAGTTAGCCTGACTATTCAAAGACTGGGCACAGTAGCAGGCTGTTAGCCACACTGCCACTACCTGGCTACATGACCCTACCTATACAAGCCATTCTTTCAGGTCCCTTTACTTATCTCTAAGGATTAATGGGATAAAGTTCTCATAATGTATTTGGCTCTTCAAGTGAAAGGTATTATGAAAATGAATACCAGATACTGCCTTGATTTCACTTAGAAATTTGTGGTGACCATATACATGGTTATGTTGTGTCCTGCAATTTACTTTGTATTAAAAAAGGTTCAAGTTAATATCTGTTTGAATTTTTAAGGAAGTGTTTACTTTTACTTTGGGCTAGAAAGGCCCCGAGTACAAATTTGATATCTCGGAAATTCAGGCCAGCGGCAGCTGTGAACAGAAGCAGGTAAAGAAAAAGCATGTTTGTCTAACCCTAAAAGTGACAATGCAAAGACACTAGAGCCAAACCTGCAATGAGGAAGTCAGTGTCGGTGCAGTCTGAACTGGCAGAGCCTAAGCAGTAATCCACCAACTCTATCATTCCTCAGTTCATTGCAAGGCGCATTTAAGTACCTATTATGTACAAATTGTTACGCCAGGACCTCAGGAAGATTTAAACATAAGTGGTAAACACAGTATTGTTCTAATCTTTAAGTTCATAATCTAGTTGGAACACTAGACATCAGCCCACACATCTCTCTAAAAATAAAGTAAAAATATAGGGGACAAACAAAAAAATAAGTGTGTAACAGGATAATTTATTGAGCTATTAATTTGGTTTATGTTCTCCTTATATTATCCCTCCCCTCCATTCTAAACAAGCTTCAAGGGAGTATTCCTAGGCAGAAAGAAGTCGTCTGGCAGGAACTGTCTGTTAGATGGGGGGCACCACTCACACTGTAAATGAAGCCTCCTGGACCACAGATCCCTAAATGCAATGTCAGTGTTATCCCTGGAGTTGTGCCCAGCAATCTGCCTTCCAGGTTCCTTGCTCCTTGGGGAGACTTTGCTAGGGAATTAAAGATGTAAAGGCATTTGGGGAGCAAGGGATAGGGAGGGAGGGAGGGAGAGAGGAAAGGGAAGGAAGGAAAAGAGAAAAACGGAGGAGTTGTGGGTAGGGGAAGTTACAGAGAAAGAAAAAATTCCCCAAACTGGAAAGGAGTAAAAGGTCAGTATTCCAGTAGTGGGGACACCAGCCGTGCTCCCTAGAAGGACCCCAATAAATATTCAAACCTCGGATGGATGCGTGATGATTCTAGAGTGTCTGGGTGTCCCTGCCACACTTGGACCATGAGCAGAGTTTTGCCTGGTTTCTAGGGACCATATATCCCTGAAGAATGAGGGTGCCAAAGTCCATTTTCCCCCATTTTCTAAGCTCAACATACATCTCCCAAGACTCTAGTGCAGCCCTAGAGAGGAAAGGAGGAAAGCCCAATAATAACTGGGATTAAATTTTCATCTACTCCAGCAGAATTAAGGCTGGGATTACTTAAACCTGAGGTGAATTTAATTTGATTTAAACAAAATTAAAAAATGTGGCATTTCTTGCACACTCAGACTTGTACTTGCAAATTTATACCTACTAGTGGTGGGTACTATATACAAAAAAGTGTTAGGTGAGATATGTAAGATTAAGAATTACAGTGAATGGCACAGTTAATAACTGCTGGGTTTAGAGATAGAAAAGAGCAAAAGTAGCTAAAGTCATCAGAGGTGGCTTCATAGAGGGTCGACTTGGGACAGAGCTAGAGTGTAAGGCAAGGGAAAGAGTTTATAAAGGTGGAAGAAAGAGTGGAGGCAAGTGAGATGGGAAAAGCAGTGTGAACAGAAGCAGGAAAATGAACAAGCACATGAAGAGACTCGCAGGAGAGTGGCTTAATTGGAGTGGACAGCTGATGACTAAGATTATGTGGGTACCAAATTCCAAGGCTGAGAGTTTCCGTACTCACTGTATACAGTAGGGTTCTATCAGAGGCCATAAATAGAGTTTATTATAATAGTTATTATGATTATATATTTAATATTTATTATAATGATATTATTATAATATGTAATTTAAAAGAATTGGTTTACATGATTGTGAGGGCTGATAAATCTGAGATCTGTAAGGCAGGCCAGCAGACCAGAAACTCAGAAAGGAGGGGATGCTGAAGACTACAGTTGGGATTTCTTCTTCCTCAGGAAAATCTCAGATTTACTCTAAACGCCTTTCGCCTGTTTGGATGGAGCCCACCCAGGTTATGAGGGATAATGTGCTTTATTTAAAGCCAACTGATTGTAGATGCTAACCACATCTACAGAATCTACTTTCACAGCAACATGAGATTAGTGTTTAATTGAATAACTGGGTACATTAGCCTAACCAAGTTGACACATCAAATTAACCATCACATTCACTACCCTCTTAGTGTCATCTCTCCTGTATTTGAGAAGAGGAAAAAGCCTTCAGACTTTTTTCATGGACCTCAGGAAAGATAATTTCCAATGAAGTAGGCTAACTTGTGTCCTTTCCTTGGATATATTTATTTCTGTGCTCTTTCTTGTACATAGACATACTTATTCCCAGGGACTTTCTATTTCTCTTCATCCTTTTTTTCCCCTACCATTACCTGAAGTTACACAAAGTGACAAGCAAGTATTGTGGTTGGTGCTAGTATGTTGTTGTTTTCATTTATAGCACCTCTAGTGTATCTGCTAGTGTCATTCCTCTGAATCAACCAAGCCTCAGGCCGTCTGGCATATCCATGGCCTCCTATTAAGGCTGACTTCTAATGGGCTCTATTGATGTAAGCCTCCATCCTTGTCACTTGTTGCCTTAGGCCCTGGCTGGAACAGGGCTCAGCATTGAACACAAGGGCAACCAGTCAGCTCATGAGATAGTGACTAAATAAATATAAGAGTTGTGCCCAAAGAAGAGGTTAGTAATTAATTAACAAATTGATTTCTTTCTTGGAGAATATGAATACATGAGCAAGAGAGAGGGTTAGGCAGTAAAAACAGTAGCTAAAAGACACACAAGAGAAGGCAGGCCCCAGAAACCATTAGACAACAGCAACCAGTAGAGGCAATAAGTAGGGAGAAACTGAGAAGAGAAGCTGAAAAGACTTACAGAAGATAAGACAGTTGCTTAGTAATGGTAGAAGCAATAGGCCCAAAGGGTCATAGGAACTGATGGAGCTCCAGAGTGAGGGGCGCAAATGTGGAAGATAATGGGCCAGGACTAATCAGGGAAATCCAGAAAAACCATCTAGAAACCCAGGAACAAACATACAAGTGACCTCATCGATACTTCAAGAGAGCTCAGGAACTAAAAGTTCATTTAGATTCCAATGCAGTTCTAGCAACTGATTTATCTCCTTACACCCCCAGGAAAAGGTTTTCACTGCTCCCTTACTTTGGTGAGTATCTCTCATACTCCGAAAGAATCTTAAACATATAGTGATAGCCCCGATCATCTGAAGGGCTCAATCATACGTCAAGCATTGCATCCTCTCGAAAGTCCTCCCTTTTCCAGTCCCCACTCCTCACCCACCCCGGTTGAGTTAGCCGTCTCATTTCTATGGTCCTATAGTACCTTCCACAGCCTTATGTCAGAGACACTATCTCATTATAT